CCTGAACCGTCATGCTCACGCCCCGCCGATGACAGGTAAGTGCTGATTTATGTTTTCAGTTATAAACATATTACTTTGTCTATGCTCAGAATTAAGGATCAGGACTTTAGTTAAGATGCTAGAATCATGTTCAGACTTTAGAGTTCGGACATGACTCTAGAATTCAGGGCATTCATAAATGACTCTAGACTTTAGTATCTTCCGATGTGACTCTAGAGTTCTTCAGGATTCACGTCAGTATTTATTAGCCACTTTTGGCAACTCGTCAAGAGATCTGTGTGCCTTAGTAATCAATCAGAATTTTATCACGTATTCAGTAATGTTAAACTTTTTCAATGTTCAGATGCCGCCACGTAGGGAACCCGATTATCAGGCTCCTACTCAGGCTACGGTAGTCGCTCAGTTCCGCGACTATCACGCCGAAAAGTTCTCAGGACAGGGAGATCCCCGCATCGTTGATTAATGGGTTCAGGGTCTGGAATTTATCTTATTGGTCATGGACTGCCCCGATAGATATTGTGTAGTTTGCGCTCAGCTTCAGCTCACTGGTGATGCTAGACTCTGGTGGAATGCCTACTGGAGCATGCGTCCCGGTGAAAAAGCGGGATGTACATGGGACATGCTCAAGGAGCTAGTCCGCGAAAAGTACTACCCTTCATACTATCGGGCAGAGATGGAGCGTCAGTTCTTAGCGCTTCAGCAGGGCACTCGTACGGTTGATGAGTACGAGCGAGAGTTCACTAGACTTGCAGCTTTCGTACCGGACCTGGTTCGCACGGAGGCTCAGAGAGCGCAGCGGTTCATCGAAGGGCTTTACCCCGCAGTCCGTCATAACATCGTGGGACACGGGACTTAGACCTACGCTCGTGCAGTCTCCATCGCCCAGGAGGTGGACGCTAGCATCCGGAGGGTGGCCGTCCGTGATCGTGCCCAGCCATCCGCCTCGGTTCAACCATTCGCAGCTCCACCAGCTCTACCAGCTGCTCAACCGGCGAAGGAGAAGAAGAGGAAGGGGAAGGGTGCACAGACTGACCGGAGGACCCGACAGAGACAGCAGCTGATTCCACCGTGCCCGACTTGTGGACGACTTCATCGGGGAGAGTGCCATGTGGGTCAGGACATCTGCTACTACTGCCACGAGCCGGGACACTTTGCGAGTCGCTGTCCGAAGAGACTTCAGCAGCAGCCCCAGCAGCCCCAGCAGCCTCAGCAGCCACCACAGCAGCAGCAGCCACGACAGCAGGCACAGAGGCCGCCTCAACAGCAGCAGCAGAGGGGCAGACAGCAGGCCCGGGTTTATGCGGTTGATCAGGCAGAGGCAGCACAACAGCCAGGTACTATGTCAGGGATGGTTGTTCT